CCGGAGAGCAAAAAAATCGATTCCTATACGTTAAAGAGCCAGAAGCCTCCAAACCAAGAGCAATCAACCCCAAGCCTCGAAACCCGAAGCCTTAAACCCTCCTTATAAGCCTAACCCGTGGAAATGCCGTTTCCGCTTCAGCTGCCATTTGGCTCAGCCGTGGGCCTTTGCGAGCATGCCGCGACGATCCCGTACACCGCCTGGGCGACCAACACAGCCTGCAGCAGAGACTCCAAGCGCAGGTTCTACCGAGCTGCCGGAGAACAGGCGCGAGGAGCGAAGCAGAACCCCGCCTCAGAGGGGAACACGTTGGAAGTGGTGCTGGATGTTCTCTGAGAATACTTGGTGGTGGCAGTGGTGGGCAGAGTGAAAGAACTCTTTACTCAGGCGCCCTTCTTTTGTTGGCAAAGTGCCAACAACGACGGTTAAGAGCACGTGCATGAACCTCTCTCTCGAATTCACCATGACGGCTGCTGCAAAAACAGCGTTTCTTTTGCTGATAAGAGCTGTATAGGGTTGATGAAGCCCAAGCAGGTTCAAGTTGTTTGCACCTTGCGAGCTTGCCGCAGCCGTTTCGGTTCTATAGGCTGGGTGGTGGCATCAGACCTGCCGGACCTGTTTGCGGCGACCGGTGAGCCGGACCCTGGCTCAGGTGAGGCGAGCGACGGAGATGAGCCTCCAAAGCCGAAGACCTTGAATCCCCTACACCCTGAAACCCCAAACCTTTTTTAGGATTCAACCTTTCCCCTTAAGCCCTAAACCCTAAACGAGGAGCCAGCCGATCTGCACGATCGCGCCGGCGAGGCCGTGGATCTGCGGAGCGTGCCAGCAAGCCGTTGCAGCTCCCGCCCTGTCGGCTCTCGCCGCCGCAGCAAGTCGAGTGGCCGTGCCCGTTCCCGCGGCCACCGTGGCGACAGGAGGAAGCGTCGGCGACGCTCCTCCTCGCCGGTGTGCGAGCGTTCGCCGGACCGCACAGACTACGGTCCCCGCGGCGGCCCGCACGGCGGGGGTCCAGGCGGACCCGGCTTAGACAAAGGGGCCGTACTGACAGGCCTCTTCGAGGCAGCAGCCAAGGCGCTTGGGTCCTACTAGCCCCGCCCTGTAGCCCCGTGTAGCGCCCTCCTCGTGCGATCGTAGGATCGCAAGGCTGTAGCTGCAGCGAACAGAGACTCTTCCAAAGTGCGAGGAAAAAGACGGGTGCTGGCACGGCTGAAGGGTTGAAGGGTTTAAGGGTTGAAGGGTTGAAGGGTTTAGTGTTGAGGGGTATAGGGTCCCTGCTGTTGGGGTTTAGGGTGAGGGTTACAGGGATTGAAACTGAGGGCTTGGGGGTTTATAGGTCTTCGAGACCTTCTTATAAACCCTAAAGCCTACAACCCTAAACCCTAAACCCTGAACCCTAAAGTCCGTCAACGCACACCCTTAAACCCTTTTATGGGCCTTATAAGGTTGTATAGCCCTGTGTATAAAAAAACGAATAGACTGCCCACACCCTCTACATAATAACCCGACCTAAACCCTAAACCTTTCAAGCCCCAAGCCTCATGACCCCCTAAACCTCTCAAGCCCAAAGCCTGAACCTATAGTGTCCGGTGCCGGCTGCTTTGGCTCGTCGTAGCGGAGGGGCTGCGGCTTGGGCCGTGCTCTTCCAGGCCAGGGAAAGAGAGAGAGAGAGAGAGCCCCCCCCCTTTAAAAAAAAATATATATATATATATATAATAAGATATATACAGGCGTGATGGCTGCGGCCTCCGTCAATATATATTTGGCTTGATGGCTACGGCCACAGTCAAGTGAAGAGAACGTGCTGGCTGCGGCCACCGCTCTGTATATTGGCGTGATGGCTGCGGCCTCCGTCAATCTGGCTTGATGGCTGCGGCCACAGTCAGCGAAGGGCGTGCCGGCTTCGGTCGCCGCTCTGATACGGCGTGATGGCTGCGGCCTCCGTCTTAATGGCTGCGGCCACATGTGAAGGGCATGCTGGCTTGAGTCACTGCTCTGAGGCGTGACGGCTGCGGCCTCCGCTTGTTCTGACTTGATGGCTGCGGCCTCAGTCTGCGAAAAGCGTGCTGGCGGTCGCCGCTGCTTTGCTGGGGTATATATATAGAGAGAGAGACCCTATAAACCCTAAACCCTAAACCCTATATAAACTGCCGGCCAGGTGCTGCGTGCCAATGGGCACGCACAAAGACAAGAAGAAGGAAAAAAAAGAGGAGAAGAAGGAGGAGAAGAAGGTGGAGAAAAAAGAAAAGAAGGCAAAGGAGCCTCGGCCAAAAGAAGTCGTCGACGACGAGGACACCGAAGAGACCGAGGCCGAGGAGAAAAAGGAGGAGAAGAAGAAGCCTCCCTCTCCGCCTTCTTCCTCTGGCTCCTCCGAGGACTCAGAAGAGACGGTGACGGTGTCGGCCGTTGAGAAGCCCTCCGCTGCCGACCCCGCCAAGTCGCCGTGCGAGGAGGAAGCGCATCGGCTGCGGTCGAAAGCGCTCGCTTCGCTGCACCAGCAGCGCCCGGCCGAGCCGAAGAACGAGCCGCCGCGGAAGCCAAGCAGCCTGCCCGAGCCGAAGAACGAGCCGCCGCAGAAGCCAAGCAGCCTGCCCTCAGTTTCGCCGGCGGCAACAGTTGCGAGGCGGAGGCGGACAGACCGCGGGGCAAGAAAAGCCAAGGCTTCGTACCAGTGCCAAAGGTGCCACGGCACCATAGTGCCGAGCGCCCAGGCCTGGCGCGGCCACAGGCGCGGCGCCAGATGCCTTTCCTGGCGGGCGTGGAACGAGGGGACAAGACCGTGGAGCAAGTGCTTGCAAGAGGGAGAGAGGCTGCGCAAGGAGTGGGAAGCTGGGCGCATGGCAGACTCGCCAGAGCCAGAGGATCTGTATGGGTCAGAGGCTGCTTCGGCTGGGGCCAAGCAGCCGGTGCAGCTGCGCAGTGCGCGGCCTTCTCTTCGGCGCCGGATGGACAGCCGCAGCCGCAGCCGCACCCGCCGCTCCTCGCGGCGGTCCAAGCAAGGGCGGTCGGACGAGAAGCGGCGCTCCCGCCGGAGGCGCCGACAGTCCACGCCGCCCCCAGACCGAACGCCGGACTTCACGAAGTATCCGGGTGGCCCGAAGGGGGGGCCGCCCGGTGGCGGGGGACTCGACAAAGGCCGCGTGCTGACTGCTCTCTTCCAGGAAGCAGCGCGTGCCTTGCAGTCCTGGTGATCGCAAGGCAGCTCTGTGCATGGCCCGGCGAGTGCATGCAGAGCAGCGAGACGCCTCCAAGGCTTCTTCCGGTCTGAAAGGGCCATGGTGGACGAGACTCTTCCAGAGGGCGAGGAAAAAAAGCTCTGCGAGAGTGGAGGGTTTTAGGGTAGGGGTTTAGGGAGTTTAGGGTTTAGGGCAGGGTCGCTGGACCCCAAACCTGCAACCCCCTATATAAACCCTACATATAAACCCTAAACCCTATAAACCCTGAACCCTATAAACCCTGCAAACCCTGAACCCTAAAACCCTAAAACCCTAAAAGGAACCTCAAGGCTTTGTCTCAGGCATCTGAAGGGTTTTGCTGTGGAGTGAAAGGTTCAGGCTTCCTATATGAGAAGCCCCGAAGCCTAAAGCCCTAAACCCCATACTGCAGACCCCGAGACCTCAACCCTAAAACCTTAAACCCTATATCGTGCATGCCGGAAGGCGAGAAGGATCAAGGATATATTATATAGAGGCCCTTGCGAAGTTGTAGCACGACCCGGCCATGATGCGGGATCCGGCAAGCATGTCCGACGGAGAGCTTGCCGAGTGGGCTGCGAGTTTGGATGCCGACGCCAGGCGTCGCATCCAGACCGCACTTCTCGTGGCTGCCGAGCGATCCATGGGCAGCAACAACTATACTGCTGCTGCTGGCTCAAACCCGACCGGCGGCAGCAGCTATAGTGCTGCAGCTGGCTACAACCCGACAGGCACCAACCAAGAGACGCTGCCCCTGCCGCCCCCGCCGGGTCAGCGCCGGCCGCGGTGCCAGAAAGCCTGCCCCAATGCAGCTTACGGCCTCTCGTTTTGCCGTCTGTGGTGCAAGCGAAAGGACAAACCGCACAAGCGACGGCCACACCGAAGCCACTACTGCAGGCCCTGTCACGAAGCTGGGTACGGCGAAGACTCAGACCGCAGCACATAGGTGCAGTCGCTTATATATTTCTTGAGGATAGTGTCACGGCTTGCAGCCGTGCTGTACACAGATGAGGCTGTCAGCAGGCTCTGTTTTCAGCAAAGCTCCCTTGCAAAAAGCGAGATTGCTGCCTCAGCTGCTGTAGTCTTGAGACTGTGGATTTCTGCTTTCAAGGCTGGAGAGCCTGATCCCAAAAGCCTCTCCAGGCAGTCTGCAGCACAGGGACCACCTTAAAAACACCTAAAGCCGGTAGGTCCCGAAAGGGTCCGAGGCGCCTCACCACCTTACCACCTTAACCTTTCCCGATGCCAGATCCCTACAGTAAGGGCTTCCACCTAAGGCCACCTTAACTGCCCAGGCTAAGGAAAGGCAGCCACCTTAACCACCTTACCTATAGAATTAGAGGCTGCCTAGCAAACGGACCACCTTAACCCTAAGGTGGCCCAGTCTTGAGGCCAGGCCTCCACCTTAGTTCACCTTAGTTTCACCTAAAGCTCTTTCCTGGGCTTTTGCAGCCTGACAGTTG